TTTCTCAATCATTCTCCCTTCCCCTCCCCTCCCCTGTGCCTTTCCCTCGCCCCCCCATGCATGGCAGAGGTGGGAGGGAGGCATGGGGAAAGTGGAGCGCGGGAGGAGGAAGCATGCAAGGTGTTGTAAGTCCGTACTTGAAGCTTTCGCGTTCTTGGTGGTTAAAACGTAACTGCAATGGATGTTGCTTAATAGTAGTGAGAGTAGGTAGAGTGTGAGAGCAGTGTGGTGTAGGCTGTATCAGCGCCATGCTCCCTCTTTCCTGCTCAGAGAGCAGCATCGTGCTGGCGCAGGGTGTCGAGAGGGGGAGATGGGTTTGTGGGGGAGATGGAATGATGATTGGGGGGGGAGATGGAATGATGATTGGGGGGGGAGGTGGAATGATGATTGGCGGGGGGGGGAATGGAATAACCCTCTTCTTTCGCCTCCGTCGCTCAGCTCTATCCCATCTCCCACCTTCCCTGCCCTCCTCCCTGTGCTTATCGGACTGGACCTACCAATAGAGGCAGTGGGTGTGGAGGACTTGACTCACTGCCTGTGTCACGATTCTAATCTGAGCGTATAGCAGTAGATATATCATCGTGACTAATAGCATATAAGAAACACTACAGTAGGAGGAGGACAAGTGAATCGGAAGTCGGCCGAAGCGACTCAACCAACAGGGTAGTAAATTGGCGGGCGAGAGAGATCCGTTGGGCAAACGGTAACCCGTCGCTGGTACTTAAGAAATAGGCTAGCTTAGGAAAGATTGCTTGCGTGATTGTTTTCACACCTATGCTTACAATTCCTGTCTATACGAGCGAACTGAGCACAAGAAACCAACGCCGCAAGCAATTCAGATTCAATCGTTCTGTATTCAGCCAGCCGAGCTAGGGTTTGTATAGCTAGTTACATGCAGAGGTACGGGACCTCTTAACAATCACGCAAGAAGTTTCGATGCATCGTCGAGACTTCCTAAGGACGCGACTGTGGACCGACGCAGATGAGTTGAAGCCTACGGCGGAGAGACGTGCGGAAGCTATCGCCACGCAGAAAGACACCGGAGCGGCACGCGGCGAGAGTGATTCACCGAAGTACCGGGCTCCCCACCAACGAGCCCGCGTGGCGGGAGATAGCATGGATCGAGTGCGAACCGTCGTCTCGGATCCGGGAGAGACTTCGCTCGACGCTCGCTGGACCGAGAAACTCCGTGAACGCTAGAAGAACCAAGAAGCAGCGACCCCGCCGATCGGAATGCTAGGGATGCACCCGAGGAATGTTCAGACTGACGCACGCTGGAGGCCGACGGAAGGGCCCGTACAGGAGTCGACGCAGGGAAGAGCTCTGATACTCAGTGGCGATGCAGGTGCTCCAAGCGATGCGCCGGAAGGACTCAACGTCGGCGGAACTCGATGGAAGGCGACCAACTTGCCCAAAGTAGAGGTGGCGGAGCGATATACGGGCATCCCGGGAGTGGGGCCCAGCCTGAAGAATTATCTGATGCAGCTCGAGACTGTACAATACTGTTGGGAGCGTGACGGATATGACCCGGCCGAGTTCTTCCGGAAGATGGTGGGGACGTTGGCGGGCGAGGCTGAGACATTCTATCGACTGACCCGAGACGACGTTTTAGAAGAGCTGGCGGAAGGAGAGATAGTCAATCCGACGGCCCGCTTCTTGCAGCTGCTGCGGAAGGAGTTCGCGAGGCAGACCAAGGCGCGCGTGGAGGAGTTCCGGGACTTCCGCCGTAAGAAGGAAGAATCTCTGCTGGCTTATTACTGCCGACTCCGTGAACTAGCCGAAGACCTCGAAAGCACGGACGAACGCCTGCTGGTGAGGAATTTCGTACAAGGGCTGGACGAAGAGCTAAGGGGAGTGGTGCGGAGCACAGTATACAGCATTGGCGCCGATATCACGCTCAAGGAAGTCTATATGCTGACGAAGAAGACGGAACAAGTGCAACGACTGCTGGATCTAGAAGATTCAAAAGGAAGGAGCCGGGCGAAAACGAGTTGGGCAGCGGCGGCAGTACCCGACTCTGCATCTGGGGGCAGCAGCAGAGTAGACCCTCGGCTTTGTCATACCTGTGGAGAGCACGGGCACTTGAGGCGTGATTGCCCCAACGCGCCGACCTGCGAGCAATGTGGGAAACGCGGACATAAGAGAGAGGACTGTTACAGCCGACCAAAGGAAGCGATGGGGGCAACGCGAGAGGAGCTCCAAGTCGAGGTCAGACGGCTGCAGCTGCAGTTGGAGCAGCTACCTAATCAGAAGGAGGTAAAGGCGCGAGCGATGTTGGCGTACGAAGAAGTGGATGACGCTGAGGAAGAGGACGAGGAGGAATATACGCGAGAGTACGCAGTCATGGCGTATCCTCGGGCCCGAGACGATATCCGACTCCGACCACGGGTTAGCCAGTCCCAGAGCAGTGAAGTGACGAGTGGAACCCGTCCCCGGGGCAGTCAAGTGGCAGGAGCAAGACCCTCGGAGATGAGGCGGCACCCGAACGAGCGGCTGGTGTGTCAAGCGTCAGTGCTTATTGCCGTAAAGGGAAGTCTTACCGTGGGAGGCCTGCCCGTGAAGCAAGCTATCATAGACACCGGAGCTCATCACGTGCTCATAGGTAAAGGACTAGCTAAACAGCTGAAGCTGGATGTATCCGGGCGTACCATGGAGCGGGGAATCCTACTCATGACGGCTGAAGGAGGAGAGCCGAAGTGGATGCCGAAAACCAGGCGGCCGGTGGAAGTGGTGCTCTTACCCGGGACGGAGAAGGAGTGCTGCATCCGGCTGCAGTGCAGCGTTTCGGAGTTCGAGGACTATGATGTCCTCGTTGGGATGGAGCTCCTCTATCGAGTAGGAGCTACCATCTGTACGTGGCAGGAGAAGGTGCTCTTCCGCGTGCAATACTGGGACCCAGAGAGCCCCGTAAGCACGCTGCCGGTGCGGTTTGTGCGGCAGGAGCCACGAGAAGCGTACCAGGCACAAAAAAAAGATCTGACGGAAGAGCTGGAAGATTGGCCGTGGGAGAGATATGAAGCGGAATACGAAAGGCGGATCGAGAGGCGAACCTTGGGACAGAGCCCGCCGAATTTGACTGAGCAAGTCAGTCGGGTGCAGGCCTTAGATGTGCCCATACGCGTCTTGGAGTTGTACGAGGGAATAGGGACAGGCCTGGCAGCGGTGTTACGAGTTGGATGTACTGTCAAGTAGTGGATCCATGTCGAGCGAGATCCAGCGGTGCGGAAGATGACGCGCCACCATGCCGAGCTGCTTCGGGACGAATACCCAGATCAACTGTGGGAGGACGCGCTTCCATACGAGTCTGAACCAGCGGTGCATGACGTACGAGATATCTCCGAGCGCGTATTGGAGAGCTGGGGGCATATAGACCTGGTCATTGCAGGGTGGGAATGTCAGGGGTACTCCAGAGCCGGGGAGGGCCTGGGGATGGAAGACATGCGGGGAGCCTCGTTCCGGGACTTGCGGCGGGTGTTAGAGATGATTCAGCAGCGTCAAGGGGAGGTCGCCTACATTCTGGAGAATGTAGACCTGGCAAAAGATAAGCGAGAGCCGGTGAAGAGAGCATTTGAGGAGATCGCAGGAGTCGTGGGGCGAGGAGTACCAGCCGACGCGGCGCAGCTGGGGTCGCGAGCACATCGGCCGAGGCGGTATTGGCAGAATGTGATGTCTACCGCAGCGTTGCGACACTCTCTGGCACTGATGCAGCGGCTAGAACCGCGCTTAGTGAGTGACATTCTGGAGCCCAACCGCCTGCCCGCGCCTGTGACGAGCGCGGATCACCCGTCACAGTACCAGTGTAATGAGCCGGGAAAACCGCGGCTAGCGTTGCCTACCTTAGTGTCCTATGCTGAAGCCCGCGGATTCATTATGGAGGGAGATTTGCCTGGCCCGGGGATGATCTACGACGTGCGAAAGGGAGTCTGGGAACAACCGTCGGCGAACGAACGGGAGGCAGATATGGGGCACCTGTGGGGTGTCAGACTTATATGATCTAGCCTGTGTAGGCTGTAGCGGGTTAGATACTAAGGGGTACACAATTCTAGGGTTTCATATTTGTATCATACTCATTCCTTAGTCAATCATTCCTCGTGATTTTCACATGGTATAGAGCAGGTTCCTTAGTGGGAACGTTTCCTAGGGCCCACCACTAAAAATCGAAAAAAAAAAAATTTCCTGCCCGGAGCGCGCTTCGCTGCTGCCCGAGTCGCGCCGCGTGTGCCTACCCTCCCGTCGCGTCCCCTGCCCTTAGCGGCCCGTCGCGCCCTCTTACGGCCCCTCGCGGCCCCTCCCACGGCCCTTTGCGGCCCCTTCGCGGCTCCCTCGCGGCCCCTCCGCCGCCCTTCGCAGCCCCTCTCACGGCCCTTCGCGGCCCCTTGCGGCCCCTCGCGGCCCCTTCGCGGCCACTCGCGGCCCCTTCACGGCCTCGTCGCCGCCCTTCGCGGCCCCTGCGCGGCCCCTTCTCGGCCCCGTCGCCGCCCTTCGCGGCCCCTCACGGCCCCTTCTCGCCCCCGTCGCCGCCCTTCGCGGCCCCTTCACGGCCCTTCGTGGCCCCTTCGCCCTCTTAGCGGCCCCTTCTCGGCTCCTCCGCGGCCCCTTCTCGGCTCCTTCACGGCCCTGCCGCCCCGCCGTCGTCGCCCGAGCAGGAGCAGCCGCCGCCGCCGCTGACAGCAGGAGCCGCCGCCGCCGCTGCAGTGACAGCCGCCGCCACCGCTGTCGGAGCCGCAGCCGCCGCCACCACCGCCCGGAGCAGCCGCCCTCGCCGCTACCGAGGCCGCAGCAGCCGCCGCCGCCAGCAGCAGGAGCAGCTGCAGCTGTCGCGGCCCTGTCCCTGCCGGCGCGCCTCGGCTCTGCCCCGCCACTTGCGGCACTCTACCCACCCGCCCTGGTAAGAGCACCGCCGAGCCGCGCCTCTGCAACTGCGCTGCTCCTAGCCTGCTGCTACTGCCCCTAGCCTGCTGCTACTGCTGTCATGGCTACCCCTAGCGTTCTCGTCTTTGATGCTGAGGGTCGGGCTGTCGACTTTGAGGTCTGTGTCGATGATCTGCAGCTTTTCCTACCGTGCGATAGGAAAGACCGTCTCTCGCTGTTCGATCTCACGTCTGGCGCCTCTACTGCCCCTGCTGTCGATGCTGACAGCACTTTTTGCTCACAGTGGGCCACACGCGATGCTGCTGCCCGTCTTGCTTGCGTAGTCACTTGTCGTCCTCTGAGCGCGCACACTTTAGTGAGTACAAGAGTGCTAAGACGTTGTACGACGCTGTAGTTGCACGCTACTCTTCCCCTGCCACTGCTGCCCTTAGCCGCCTCATGCTGCCGTACCTGTTCCCTGACCTCGCCGCCTTTCCCACTGTTGCTGACCTCATTACGCACCTTCGCACTAGTGACGCTCGCTACCGCGCTGCGCTTCCTGCTGAGTTCTGCGCCAAGAACCCCCCCCCCCCCCATGTACATCACCCTCCCCCCCCATGTACATCACCCTCTACTACCTAGTCACCATGATCTCTGACTCCCTTCGCTCGGTCAGGGACCACTTCCTCTCTGTCTGCCGCACACTCACCGTTGACCTCCTCAAGGAGCGCCTCCTGGCGGCTGAGAAGAGTATAGTCGCTGTAGGAGTCTCTCGTGGTGGCCCGCGTTCCCCCTCCTTTGAGGGGTGCTCCCCCTACCCCCTTTTGCCCTCTGTTGCCTCTGCTGGTGCCGTCGACTTCGTTGGCACCAAGTCGGTCGGCGCTGCGTCTGCCCCTAGCGGGAGACGCCGCACCGGCAAGGGCAAGGGGGGCAAGGGCGCTGGAGGAGCTGGCGGGGGCGGTGGAGGTGGCGGTGGAGGCGGCGGAGGGAGTGGGGGTGGCGGTGGGAGTGGTGGCGGGGGTGGGGGCTTCGGTGGCGGCGGCGGTGGGGGTGGGAGCGGAGGAGGAGGCGGTGGCGGCGGCGGTGGAGGTGGCGGTGGCGGCGGTGGAGCGGGTCGGGGTGGCTGTGCGCAGCGGGGCGGCTTCGGTGGTGGTCAGCGCCAGCAGCAACAGCGCACTCGTGAGACCCCGCCCCCCCAGCAGCTTCGTGAAAGGTACGCTGCGCGTCAGCGGGGTGGGGGTGCTGGTCCTTGTGCCTACGTCCTGCGTACCGGCGACCGCACTGGTGAGCCGTGCGGTGGCCCGCACACCACCCAGCGCTGCTTCCGTCGCCTGACGGACGCTTGGCGTCTCCAGTTCCCTGACGCCACTGAGATCCCCCGCTGGGGCGAGCTGCTTACGTCGGGGGTTGCTATCTTTGATCTGGATTATGATGCTATTCTTGCTGCCATGTATGTTGTGTCTACTAGTGATGAGGGTGACTGTTACCTGTGTGTTCCGCCTGACCCGGGCATTAAAGCTGCTGCTCTATGTGCTGGTGAGGCTGCTGCTTTGGGTGCTAGTGCGTCTGCTGCTCCAGGTACTGGTGAGTCTGCTGCCCCAGGTGCTGGTGAGTCTGCTCTCTCAGGTACCACGTCGGCTCAGGCCTTACACACCTTCACCTTTGACTCAGGTGCTTCCCGCTCCTTCTTTCGAGACCGCACCACGCTTACGCCGCTTATTCGGCCGGTTACGTCTCCCTGGCGGACCCCTCTGGGGTTCCTCGACGGAATTGGAACTCAACTGATTGATTAAGAAAGAAGGCACTAGGCCTTAAGTACAAACGAGGTTGGGATGGGCAAGGCTAGGGAAAGGATGGGATGGGAATCCTAGCAAATCTCCAATTGGTGAGTTGGCAGATTTGCAGGATTACGAGGGAATCCCAACCAGATAGGGTTGGGATCACAAACTACACCCAACCCACAAATAACCTACGCGATATAGAATATAGTACACAAAGTGTTGACAGCCTAATTCTAACAGTCCTGTCGTTGCCCACTTCTCCACTGTCTTCCCGTGTCCGGCGGCCCCCTCTGGCACCCTGTCAGGTCTCTACCTCCCCTCGTTCTCTACGAACTTGGTGAGTGATGCTGATCTACAGGATGAGGGGGTTGACCAGTTCACTCCTGCGAGTCAGCGGGTGACCCACTGTACGTGTGCTCGGACGGGCCGACACTTGGCCACGTTTACCCGTCAGCCGAGGTCGAGCCTGTACACACTGACTACTGAATCTTCACCGGTTGCTGAGTCTGGTCAGGTAGTTGCGTCGGGTCAGGTGTTTGCTGCAGCGTCCAGGTCTGGTCCTGAGTGTGCTCCCTGCTCGTGTCGTCTCCTGTCCCACCGGACTCTCCTCTGGCACCACTGCCTTGGTCACCCCTCCCTGCCTCGTCTCTGAGGCCGCCTCCCGTTACCTTGTCTCTGGTCTCCCCCGGTCCCTCCCTCCCCTCCCTCCAGGGCCTGCCCCTACCTGCGTTCCCTGCGTCGAGGGGCGGCAGCGCGCCGCTCCTCACTCCTCCGAGTTTCCTACGACAGAGGCTTCACTGCAGACTCTTTACATGGACGTGTGGGGCCCCGCCCGCGTCCGTGGCCAGGGTCACGAGCGTTACTTCCTGTTGGTGGTTGACGACTACTCGCGTTACACCACGGTGTTCCCTTTGCGCAACAACGGTGACGTCACTGAGGTGTTGATCGACTAGATCCGCGCAGCTCGTCTCCAGCTCAGAGAGAGTTTCGGCTCGGACTTTCCTGTTCTGTGTCTGCACTCTGACAGAGGCGGAGAGTTTTCCTCTGGCCTTCTGGGAGCCTTCTATCGTGCACAGGGCATCCGCCAAACGTTCACGCTTCCGGCCTCTCCACAGCAAAATGGGATTGCTGAGCGCCGCATTGGCATGGTCATGGACGTCGCTCGTTCGTCCATGATGCATGCGGCTGCTCCCCATTTTCTGTGGCCATTCGCGGTTCAGTACGCGGCGCATCAGATCAACCTTCAGCCCCGAGTCTCCTTGCCGGAGACCTCCCCTACTCTGCGGTGGACGGGGAAGGTTGGCGATGCGTCTGCGTTTCGTGTCTGGGGATCTCGGGCGTTTGTCCGCGACTTGTCTGCGGACAAGGTGTCCCCCCGTGCTGTTCCCTGCGTCTTCGTTGGCTTCCCCCCTGACGCGCCTGGTTGACAGTTTTACCACCCCACCTCGCGCCGTGTTCTGTCCTCCCAGGACGTCACCTTTGACGAGTCGGTGCCTTACTACCGTCTCTTCCCCTACCGCACTGCGCCCCTCCCCCCGCCGCCGCTCTTCCTCGCGCCAGGTCCCCCCCCGGTAGAACCCCTTCCCCCTTAGGGTCCTGCCCCCTCAAGTATGTCCCAGGTTGATGCAGTCGAGCCTGTCGAGGTAGCTGTTGACTCTGGTGCTGCTCGGGGTGCTGAGCCTGCGGGTGCGGGGCCTGGGGGTGCTGAGCCTGGGGGTGCTGAGACTGGGGGTGCTGAGCCTGGGGGTGCTGAGCCTGGGTGTGTGGAGCCTGGGGGTGTGGAGCCTGAGGATGCTGGGCCTACTCGTGTGGAGTCTGGCGGTGCTGGGTCTGGGGGTCTCTCGGGTGCTTCGTCCCACCGGGAGCTCCCCTCTCCTCAGGAGCTGCGCGAGTGGTTTGCTCGGCGCTAGAGCCGTACTGCTGGAGCTGGAGGTGCTGTAGGCGCTGGCGGTTCTGCTGCTACTGAGGGTGTTGGTGCCACGGGTTCCGGAGGTGCTCGTACTGGGGGTACTGGAGCTGCTGGGCCTGGGGGTGCTCCTGGTGCTGGAGCTGCTGGTGGAGCTTCTGGAGCAGGTGCTGCTGGAGGTGCTGGAGCTGTGGCTGTTGAGTCTTCCGGTGGTCCGGCTAGAGCTGGAGCTGCTGGGGGTGTTGGCGCTGGAGGTGCTGCTGGCGCTGGTGCTTCTGAAGGTGCTGGAGTTGGCGGTGCTGCAGCTGGGGGTACTACTGGTGCTGGTACTGCCGCTTGGGGTGCTGGTGCTGTCCCTGCTGGCTCTGGAGGCGCTGCGCGGCCACTGCCGTACTTCGTTCCGCTCCTTGAGCAGGTTCTTCGTCTCCCGCCTTTTGCTGGTCCTGCTCCTTCCTTAGAGTGTCCGCCGCCTGTCCAGTCTGAGTCACAGTTACAGCCCGCCTCCCCACTGCCTGCTCCTTCTCCCTACACTGGTCCTACTTGAGGTCTTGCTGCGCGTCGTGAGCCTGCGTCTCGTCTTGCGTCGCCTGTTCGTGCTGCTCGTACTAGTCGTCGTGTTCCGCGTCCGCGTCCTCCTGCCGCCCCGGGCATACACCAGATGGCACTGCGTCCTTCCACTGCTCCTCTGCGTGTCCCGTTGCCGTCTCCTCCAGAGTCCTCTCTTCCTGCTGTTGCTGACCCGGCGTGCTATGTTGCTCCTGGGAGACACCGACCAGAGCACATGGCTGCAGCGAAGAGGGTGTTGCGCTACTTGTGCAGTACGTCGCGCATGGGGCTAGTGCTTGGAGGGCGGCGTTCAGTGGTCCTCACAGGTCACGCAGACGCTTCTTGGGCTGACGACCAGGCTACGCAGCGGTCGTCACAGGGTTACACCTTCAGCCTTGGTTCCGGCTCTGTTTCGTGGCGGTCTACCCGTTCGTCTTCTGTTCTCGGCTCCAGCTGTGAGGCTGAGATCTACGCGGGGGCCATGGCTGCACAGGAGCTACGCTGGCTCACCTACCTGCTGACTGACCTAGGAGAGCCGCCTCGTTCTCCTCCAATTCTGTACGTAGACAACAAGGCCATACTGGCCTTGTGTCGGGAGCACAGACTGGAGCACAAAACGAAGCACATTGCTTTTCGCTACTTTCTTGCTTGTGAGCTGCAGCAGCGTGGTCAGTTGTGCCTTGCTTACGTGGCCTCTAAGGCCAACACTGCTGATATCTTTACCAAGGCACTTCCGCCTGGTGATCATCAGCGCTTTTGTACGATGCTAGGTCTTGTGCCTACTTGGTCTCACTTGCTCACTTCTTGACCTTGCTTGTACTGCGATCTATCTATACACATGCACTTGCTTGTTTACCTTTTATATATGATCTTGCATGTGAACTGGGTTTGTGGCCTTGAAGTTGTGCTCGGAATGTGTGGTGACGTTGTGATCCACCCTGAGCGTACTTTGCCTTGTTTTGCTTGACTGGTCTTGTGACCCCTTGTTCTCCCCCACTTTGTCTATGGGGCTGTGTCAGACTTATATGATCTAGTCTGTGTAGGCTGTAGCAGGTTAGATACTAAAGGGTACACAATTCTAGGGTTTCATATTTGTATCACACTCATTCCTTAGTCAATCATTCCTCGTGATTTTCACATGGGGAGCCACAGCACATCCGGAGGTGACCGAGGAACAGCGCCGAGCCGCCTTGGGCCGAGCCATGGACGCGAATGTCATGACCTGGCTCCTAGACACGATGCGGATGCATCTAAAGTCGAAAGAGTTGCAGAGGGACATCGCATGCGGAGAACGCTACCGCGACCTAGAGACAGTCGAATGGCAGAAGAAGTCGCCGGCGCGTATCGAAGAGAGATATGACTGGAAGATTGATGAGGGGTGGGCGGCGTACATGGCCATGGAAGCGTCGGAAGATGGGGTCAAGGAAGATGGGGAGGCAGCCGCGGACCCACCAGAGAAGCGGGAACGGAGGCCCGAAGAGGAGTGGATACTCGGAGGAGGAATGAATACCGAGTCAGGAGCAGCTCTGCAGGAAGTGCTGAAGCAGCATCGCGGGACCTTTGCGTACACTTTGCAGGAGCTGGGAAGGTGTACCACGCATGAGATGAAGATAGAGCTCACCACTGAAGTTCCTATATACCAACGGAAACGACGGATGAGCCCGGGGGATTTAGATATCTGCACGGAGAAATGCAGAGAGCTGTTGGAAGCAGGACTGATCCAGCGTTCCAAGAGTGACTACGCCGCAGCTACTGTGGTAGCATCACGGTAGGATCTGACAGGGGCGGTCTCCGCACGGAGGATGTGCGGGGACTATCGGAGTCTGAACAAGGTCACAGTGGCAGATAGGTATCCCATGCAGTCAGCAGAAGAAATCTTTGATAAGCTGCAAGGGGCAAAGGTTTTCTCCACCCTGGATCTACGGCAGGGATTTAATCAGATCCCCATCCGAGCCACCGATCGCAAGAAGACGGCCTTCCATGGACTAGACGGCCCGTACGAGTGGCGCTTCATGCCTTTCGGAATGAAAAATGCGTCCGCCTTGTTCCAACGGGTGATGGACACGACACTGCGCGGAGTGCCGGCGGCTGCATGTTACATTGACGATGTACTGGTTTTCAGTCCGGACGCGGCACAGCATGTGAAGGACGTGCAAGCAACGCTGGACGCCATCCGGGCAGCAAGCCTCACGTGTCACCCGAAGAAATGCAGCTTCGGGAACACCGGAATGAAGTACCTGGGTTTTGAAGTTCAAGGAGGGCAGCTGGGGATTCAGCAAGCGAAGGTGGAGGTCTTGGATAGGGTGCCGCAGCCGAAGGATAGGAGCACGCTGAGGGCCGTGCTCAGATTCCTCAATTACTACCGGAAGTTCATTCGGAACTTCAGTATGACCGCCGCGGCCTTGAATCGGCTGCTGAAGGAAGACCAAAAGTGGGAATGGGGAGAGGCGGAGCAAGGGGCATTCCAGGCGTCGCTGAAAGCAGTGAAAACGGCCACGGTGCTGACGCTGCCAAGTACAGAGGATCCATTTGTGCTGTACACGGACTGGAGCTGCGCGGGGATGGGGGCGATCCTGTGTCAGAAGCGGGAAGGAGAAGAGAAGGTAGTCGCCTTCGCCAGCCGGAGCTGCAACCCAGCCGAGGCTAACTACAGCTCGTACGAGGGCGAGGGGTTAGCTGCCGTGTGGGCTATCACTCACTTTCGCGTATACCTACAAGGGAGGCAGTTCGAGCTAGTGACCGATCACCAACCACTAACTTGGCTGATGACCAACCAGGCGCTAACAGAGAGGAACGCGCGCTGGGCCATGCGGTTACAAGAATATGATTTCTCCATCCGGCACCGAGCAGGCAAAACCATGCAACACGTAGATGGGCTGTCACGGAACCCGCCATCGCCTCGCCCTACAGCTTGTCTTGTGGCACTAGCGAGAGAATTACATGCTGAAGGGGCCATCCGAGGAAACGGGACTGGGCCTGCCGATGTCTGGGAAGACCAGGAAGTGCTGGACTGGGTGCAAGGGAAGACAGCCAAAGAGACTACCACCAGCGAGAGGGCCAGGGCTAGAGGAGTACACTACCGCTGGCACCAAGAGCAGTTGCAGAAGAACACGAGGGACGGATGGAAGATGGTCCCACGGCCACACGAGAGGGAGAGCATCATCACCACTGTACACCGACAGTTGGGACACTATGGAAGTCTACGCACCACGCAGCTAGTGGAGACCGGGTGGTGGTGGGCTGGGATGCGGAGAGATATCAGGGAGTGGGTGACTAAGTGTGAGCTGTGCAGCAAGGCGGAGCTGGAAAGGGGTAGGAAGGAGCTGCAGTCGCTGCCTATACACGGCATAGGGTTCCGATGGTCTCTCGACCTGGTGGGCGAGATGCCTCTGAGCAGGAAGGGGAAGCGTTACATCTTAATCATGATTGAGCATGGTAGCAAATGGGTCGAGGTGAAAGCCCTCCCCAGTAAGAACTCGGCTAAAATAGCTGAAGCGTTCGAGGAGCAGGTCCTCACCAGGTTCGGGGCTTGCGGGGAAGTGCTAACTGACCAAGGGACAGAGTTCCTGGGAGAGTTCGACAAGTTGCTGCGGGCCACAGGTATCACTCACAGGAGGACCTCCAGATATCATCCACAGAGTGACGGTCTTACAGAGCGATTTGTACAGACAGTGAAGCGGGGACTGAGGGCATACGGAGAGCAGTTTAAGAGGGACTGGGACACACGGCTTCCGTGGGTAGTGGCAGGATACAGATTCAGTAAACAAGCGGCTTTACGAGACTTATCGCCGTATTACCTGCTCTTAGGGAGAGACCCAGTGATGCCTGTGGATGCGCCGAGAATCCTTACGTGGTCCGTGCAAGTGGCCAATGAGGAGGAATGGGTGGGGCTGGCAGAAGCGAGAGAACTCTTACCAGCGACACTGGAGAATCTACACGTGGCACAACTGAGGGATGCACACCGGTACAAGAAGAGAGGAGAACTGCAAGAAGGAAAGAGGGACAAGGCTCTGGGAGCAGGGGAGGAAGTATACTTGAAGCAGGCGAAGCACGACCTGATGGACATCGGGCTGAGCACGGAGCGCTGGAAGGTTAAGGAGATCAAGGACTCTGGGGAATTGGTGCTCGCGAGCGCGCAAGGGCAGAGGAGAACCGATCATTGCACTAATGTGGCGCGGGCGAGAGGGCGGGCAGTGGAGCAAACAGCAAGGAGAACAGGAGAAGAGGAGTTCCAGCGGCCGTCGGCAGGGGCCAGCAGACAACCGCGGAGGGGGCAAGTGGAGAAGGCAAGGGAACATGGGGGAAAGACCAGCAGAGAGCTCAAGGCACTGACGAGGCCTAGTTGAGTGTATCAGAAGAAAGAGACAATGTGGAAGAGCCCAGGGAGCCAAGAGGAGAGCAGTGGCAAGAGAAGGCAGAACGGAGCTGCATGATTCCGACAGCTGTCACGATTCTAATCTGAGCGTATAGCAGTAGATATATCATCGTGACTAATAGCATATAAGAAACACTACAGTAGGAGGAGGAGAAGTGAATCGGAAGTCGGCCGAAGCGACTCAACCAACAGGGTAGTGAATTGGCGGGCGAGAGAGATCCGTTGGGCAAACGGTAACCCGTCGCTGGTACTTAAGAAATAGGCTAGCTTAGGAAAGATTGCTTGCGTGATTGTTTTCACACCTATGCTTACAATTCCTGTCTATACGAGCGAACTGAGCACAAGAAACCAACGCCACAAGCAATTCATATTCAATCGTTCTGTATTCAGCCAGCCGAGCTAGGGTTTGTATAGCTAGTTACAGGCAGAGGTACGGGACCTCTTTTAGTGGAGAAGGCAAGGGAACATGGGGGAAAGACCAGCAGAGAGCTCAAGGCACTGACGAGGCCTAGTTGAGTGTATCAGAAGAAAGAGACAATGTGGAAGAGCCCAGGGAGCCAAGAGGAGAGCAGTGGCAAGAGAAGGCAGAACGGAGCTGCATGATTCCGACACCTGCAGCAGTCACCTTCTTTCATCACCGCCTGCTGCTCAACCCTGGAAAGTCTCATCACCGCCTGCCACTCATCCTTAACACCTCCATGCCTCGCCTCCCTGCCGCAACCCCCTCACACACCCCTCTTCTGCCTCCCTTGCCCACCTCCCTTCTGCCTCCCTCTCCCACCTTCCTCTCTCACCTTCCTCTCTCACCTCCCTCTCTCACCTCCCTCTCCCGCCTTCCTCTCTCACCTCCCCCTGTGCGCACCCACACAGGACCTACCAGAGAGGCAGTGGGCGAGGAGGAGCACAAGGGACCACCCTTGTCAAATGCTTCATCTCATTGGTACCTATCTGCACGCTTTTACCCTTGCTCACCTCCCCCTGCCACCTGCCTCTGACCGCCACCCCGCAGGACCTACCCTCGGCAGTGGGCGAGGAGGACTTGACGCACTGCCTGGAGCTGAGGGACCTCAAGGGGCGCTCCGCCATGGTCATGCCCGTGTGCGCCTATGATGGGTGAGATGGGGGAAGGTGGGGGGGGGGAGCGGGAGGGGGAGGAGGAGGGGGAGGGGGAGGGGGAGGGGGAGGGGAGGGGGAGGGGGAGGGGAGAGGGGGGAGGGTAGGGGAGGGGGGAAAGGGATGGGAGGGGTCAAGGTGAGCGGGGCATGGGGGGGAGGAGATTTTGGTGGGGTGGCAATGCTGAGGGTGTGCTAGGGCCGGGGTGTGATGCGAGATGAGCGTATGATGGGTGAGAGGGGTGATGTGGGTGGGGGAAGGGTTGAGGGTATGGGGACAGCTGCGGGTGTGTTTGGGCAATGCAACTGGAGGTCAGGTAAGTGATGGAACCTGGGGATTGTAAGGGAGGTGGGGAGCCTAAAGACCAAGAGAGCCCTTTTTTTTGCGCTGTGAGTTTCTCTGTGACACGACATCTTGTGCGGGTGCATGAACAACCTGGTTGAATCTTGGGATTGTTGGGGGTGTGGCCTAACTGCCCTGTCACCAAATAGTGACTAAGCTGGAAGCATAACGTATGTGCATTTGTGTGTGTGCCTCCGTGTTTGTGTGTCTCCGTGTTTGTGTATCTCCGTGTTTGTGTGTCTCCGTGTTTGTGTTTGCGTCGTTTATGTGTGTGAGGGAGAGGGGGTTTCTGTCTGACTGCGTTCACAACCATGTGTGCATTGCAATGTGCGTGCATGTGTGCATTGCCAAAATGTGTGTGCAGCACGGGGGTGAGGGAGGGAGTGACGTGGCTGGTGGAGGCAATGAGGAAGAGCCAACGAGCAGACCTCATCAAGCAAAGGGCCGATGCTGCTGCTGCCTTCTGATATGGGCTCCGTGGGTGAGGGCATCTCAGGTGATCTCGTATAGGGAAGGAGGGAGAGAGGGGAGAGACAGCTGAAGGATCACAAGGGAGGGGCAGGAAGAGACGGGTGATTGGACCATGAAACAATAGTCTTGGTGGTTGTGCTCCTTTCAGGTGCTTGCGAAGGCATGCACGGTAGCTTAAGTGGTGCTAGATATGCATGTGTGGTTGAATGGGGAGAGTAGGTGGTGGTGACAAGACATACCGTATTCCCCCGGATAAAAGACCCTAGGGTCTTCTAAATAATTCAGAAAAAAAACATGGGGGGTCTTATTAAACAGTACATAATTTATAAGGCCCGGGTCTTTTGATAAGTGCATCGTTTAGAAAGATAAATGGGAATGCAAGGGTGTTGTAATGTTGTGTACATTTTATAAATCGGGGAACTGCCACGGGAATGATCGAGGCCGCGAAAACACCCTCAATCCATCTAGCATCTGAATGGTGGCCACCGATTGGCCCATATTCAGTGGCTACCAGCAATATTGATCACGGGCCGACCAACGTGTACCACGTCCCCCTCATGTTGGCATGCCGCCTCGGTACTGACACCCCCTGCATGCTACGTGAGTTGGGATCAAGAATCTCGAGGAGACTCTACCGTAGGATGGGCGCTTCCACAGTCACGTCTAGCGCAGATGCGGCTTTTGCTAGGACAGCGGAGTGCACCACTTCGTGCCACAGAGTAATTCTGCTCGTCTAAATCTGTCATGGCACTGCTTGCACGGGCGAATGAATCGCCATAGTCGAACATCACAAGGCATAGCCCCTTACCGTAGCATCTACTCGTGATGGTGACCACACCAGATTCAGGGACGTCGCAGACGCGTCGCCCTCGTGCAACAACCGCTCGTCAGCCTGTCAAACATATATCTATATGTTAGAGTTATTGCTAGGCTGTGTAGTGGGGTAGATAGTGTGGGGTATAACCCCTTAGGATTTTCCTCTTTTACCAACTCTCTCGATACTCAATCCATCCTTGCCTAAGGTTTAACATGGCATCTAGAGCACTAAGGTCTCTAGGACCTAAGAATAGGGCCCACCTTTAACTGAGTTACCTCACCCACTGCCTGCCCTGCCTGCTGACCGCGCGCGTCTTTTTTTTTTCCCGCGCGCGCCTCTTAAGCAGCCCGCGCGCAGCCCGTTTAGGCCCGTTTAGGCCTGTTTTTGGCCCCGCGCGCCACGTCAGCCGCCCGCGCAGCCTGCCGCCGGCCCGCGCGTCGCGTGAGCCGCCCGCGCGCAGCCCGCTTAGGACCTGCGCGCCGCGTCCGCCGCCCGCGTAGCCCGTTTTACGGCCCCGTTTTAGCCTGCCGCCGGCCCCGCGCGTCGCCTCCTCCAGTGACAGCGCGCTGCCCCCCGTCGCCCGTCACGGCGCCTGTGGGACCCGCGCGCTGCCCTGCACCAGCTACGCCGCCCCTGGTGCAGCCGCCCCTGGACTCCGTGCAGCCGCCCCTGGACCCGCGACGCCGCCCCTGGACCCCGTTCTGCCGCCCGCCGAGCGCCGGCCCTGCTCGCCCGGCAAGCGCCTTCTCTTCCCGCCACTGGTGAGCACCTGCCTTGTTTGCGCGCTACCGCGCCATCTGCCTGCCTGCCTGCCTGCCGGCCTGCCTGCCTGCCTGCCTGCCGCGCCTGCCCTGCACGCGCTACTGCTGCTATCACTACTGTTACTGCTACTACTGCTGCTACTACTGCTACTACTGCTACTGGCGGTGGCCAGATGCAGCTCCAGCGACGTCCGCGTGAGTCCCTCACGCCCCAGCAACTTAGTGAGTGGTACGCTAGTTGGGGTTGTAGAGGTGGCCGCGCTGGAGCTGCTGCTACTGCTGTTACTGCTGCTACTGCTGCTACTACTCCTACTGCTGCTACTGGCGGTGGCCGTCGTAGCTGTCGCCCTGAAGCTGCTCCGTTGGGAGCGTCTGGCAGTGGCCAGCTGCAGCGGCATCCACGCAAGACACTTACGCCACGGCAGCTTCACGAGTGGTACGATCAGAGTAGAGGGTCTTTGAGTACCGTTCGCTGCCCGTACGTCATTCGCACATGTGATCGGACTGGTCAGGCTTGCGGGACGCTTGGTCACACACAGTCGCGCTGTTTCGCCCGTCTGAGTTGTCAGAATGTTATAATCTAGCCTGTAGTGGGGTGCTCTATAGCGGGTACAACCCATCTAGGGTTTGCCATATGTTTCCTCATTGCTGCTAGTGAAATCCTTCTTCTTTGCTTAAACTTACTCTTGCCTAAGGATTTGGGGGTGGCGGGTGTGGGGGTGGCGGTTGTGAGTTCCTCCCCTCGCTCCTCCTCCTCCCTCGTCTCCCACTACTGCAGCTGCCGCTGAGGGGGGTGGGTGTGTGGGAGCCTAGGGTTTAGGGTTTAAGGGGGGTGCCGTGGGAGTGGAGCTAGGGTTCAGCAGGGGGTTTGTGTCGAGGGTGTGGGGAAGTTGGAGGAGGTTGTGTGAACGTAGCTGTCGTTTCGCCTGCAGCGCCTGTAGTCCGTCGCCCTTGCTTCGGTAGCCAGTGAGCCTGTTGCACCAGTCGCCAGTGGGTCCGTTGCTCCTGCCGCTCGTCTATAGCCGCGGAGCCAGTCACTCCAGTAGTCCGACGCCCTTGCTTTGGTAGCCACTGAGTCAGCCGCTCCTGTGCCCGTGCCTCTGCAGCTTCAATCGTTGCCTCGCATCTTCTCTCCCTTCACAGTTCCTCCTCCTCCTCACTTGCCCGCTGTGAATAACTCTAGCTTTGCTTACTATTGTGAACTCCTGCTATACCTGCTCATTGTGCTGATTACACCCCACTTTGGCTATGGGGGTGTGTCAGAATGTTATAATTTAGCCTGTAGTGGGGTGCTCTATAGCGGGTACAACCCATCTAGGGTTTGCTATATGTTTCCTCATTGCTGCTAGTGAAATCCTTCTTCTTCGCCTAAACTTTCTCTTGCCTAGCGAGGGCTTACCTAGCTATGGCTCCTACTTGTTCCTACTATTCGCACATGAGTGACGCCTGGCGTACCGAGTTTGGTGACGAGGCTGAGCTCCCCGACTGGGTGGAGCTGCTTGGTCAGAGAATAGATATATTTGCTCTTGACTATGATGCTATTCTCACTGCCATGTATGCATTGACTATTAGTGCTGAGGGTGACTGCTACTTGTGTGTGCCGTCGGATCCTGGTATAGCCCCTGCAGCACTAGGTGCTTGTGAGTCTGCTCCCCCTGGTACTGCGCCTGCACAGGCCTTGCACACCTTTACACTTGACTCTGGTGCTTCCCGCTGTTTCTTCCGCGACAGTACCACAGTCACTCCCCTCCCTGCACCTGTTCCTGTCTCACTGGGTGACCCCTCTGGGGGCCCAGTGCTTGCACGGTCTTCCACTGTGCTTCCGTGTCCGGCGGTCCCGTCTGGTGAGCTGTCTGGTCTCCACCTCCCCTCGTTCTCTACGAACTTGGTGAGCAACGCTGTCCTCCAGGATGCGGGGGTTGACACCTTCACCCCTGGCCGGCAGCGTGTGGCAATCTGTACGTGTTCCCGGACCGGCCGCCACCTGGCCACGTTCACCCGTGCGCCAGGGTCCAGTCTGTACACCCTCACCACTGCGTCGCGCTCCACCCCTTTGTCTCCCCGGCTGCACGCGTCTGCTCAGGTAGCTACCCAGTATGAGTGTCGCCGGCTGTCGCACGACACTCTCCTGTTGCACCATCGCCTTGGTCACCCCTCCCTGCCTCGCCTTCGTAGCATGCACTCTTGCTTCCAGGTCTCTGGTCTTCCCAGGTCTCTGCCTGCCCTCCCTCCCTCGCCTGCGCCGCCCTGCATTCCTTGCGTCAAGGGGCGACAGCGCGCCGCTCCTCACTCCTCCTCGTTTCCTCCCACAGAGGCTCCACTGCAGACACTCCACCTGGACATGTGGGGCCCAGCCCACGTCCAGGGGCAGGGCCACGAGCGGTACTTCCTGCTGGTGTTCGACGACTACATGCGTTACACCACGGTCTTCCCCTTGCAGCGCAAGGTGGACGTCCCTGCTGTTTTGATCCCTTGGATCCGCACTGTTCGTCTCCAGCTCCGCGAGCGGTTCCAGTCGGACTTTCATGTCCTGCGTCTGCACTCTGACAGAGGTGGTGAGTTCTCCTCCGACCTCTTGGCAGCCTACTGTGCGGAGCACGACATCACCCACTCGTTCATGCTTCCGGCATCTCCGCAGCAGAATGGGGTTGCTGAGCGCCGCATTGGCTTAGTCATGGAGGTCGCTCGTACCTCCATGATCCATGCGGCTGCCCCCCATTTTCTGTGGCCGTTTACGGTGTGGTACGCCGCGCATCAGCTCAACCTCTAGCCCCGTGTCTCCTTGCCGAAGACCTCGCCCACACTGCTGTGGACAAGGAAGGTTGGCGATGCGTCGTGTTTCCGGGTCTGGGGTGCTCGTGCCTTTGTCCGCGATACCACTGCGGACAAGCTCTCCCCTCTCGCCATTCCTTGCGTCTTCCTTGGTTTTGTCCCTGACGCGCCTGGCTGGCAGTTTTACGACCCCGCCTCGCGCCGTGTCTTTCCGTCTCAGGACGTCACCTTTGACGAGTCAGTTCCCTTCTACCGTCTCTTTCCCTACCGCACTGCCCCTCGCCCCCCCCCCCGCCGCACTTTCTCGCCCCAGGTCCTCCCCAGGTAGACCCCCTCCCCGCGCCAGGTCCTGCTCCCTCAGGTGTTTCTCAGGTAGACCCTCCCATCACTGCGCCTGCTGAGGTCACTGGTGACTCTGGTCCTGCTGGGAGTGGTGCTGTCCCTGGGGGTGCGCAGCGTTGGGGTGCTGGGTCTGGGGGCGCTGAGCGTGAGGAGCCTGAGGGTGCGGAGCCTGGGGGTGCTGAGCCTGCGTGTGAGGACCCTGGAGGTACTGAGCCTGGGGGTGCTGCTTCTGGGGGTGCTGCGTCTGGTGGTGCTGAGCCTGCGTGTGCGGAGCCTGGGGGTGCTGAGTCTGGGGGTGAGTTCCCTGAGGGTTCTGAGACTGCTGTTCCGCGGTCTCCTTGGAGTAGCCGTCTTCGTCCGCGTGTGCCTCTCACCTCCCAGCAGCTGCACGACTGGTACGGTCGCCGTCAGCGTCGCGCTTCTGCACCTCAGGACTCTCCTGCTGGGGGTCCTTCTGCTGAGGTCACTGGCGCTGGGAGTGGGGCTGGTCCTTTGCCTGCTGGAGGTGCTGGTGTAGTTGGTCCCGAAGGTGCTCGTACTGGGGGTACTGGAGCTGCTGAGGCTGGCAGTGTTGTGTGTGAGGGTGCTGCTCCTGGTGGCACTGCGGCTGGAGACCCTGGGGCTGGAGGTGCCGGTTCTAGGGGTGCTGCAGCAGGTGGAGCTGGTGCTGAGGGTACTTGAGCTGCTGGAGGTGCTGAAGCTGCTGAGGGTACTGGAGCTGCTGGAGGTGCTGGAGCTGCTGAGGGTACTGGAGCTGCTGGAGGTGCTGGAGCTGTTGGGGGTACTGGAGCTGCTGGGGGTGCTGGGGCTGCTGGTGCTGGTGGCACTGCACAGCCGCGCCTGTTCTTCGCTCCGCCGTCTCCGTCGTCTTTGCCACCGCCTGCCTCTGCACTTCGCCAGGTTCTCAGTCTCCCCTCGTCTACTGGTCTTCCGTTACAGCCTGGCTCACCGCTGCCTGCTCCTTCTCCGTACACAGAGCAGACCCGGGGCCTTGCTGAGCATCGTGAGCCTGCGTCGCGTCCTGTCTCACCTATCCGTTCTGGTCGTTCCAGTCGTCGTGTTCCTCGTCAGCGTCAGCCGGCTCTCCCCGGCCCTTCCCTTGTCGTCCGTCGTCCTTCCTCTCCTCTGCACCGTGTTCCCCTGCCGTCCCCTCCTGCGTCTTCTCTGCCTACCGTTCTTGAGCCTGAGTCTGACCGCACCCGTGCTGCTCACCCTACTGTTACGCGTCTACTAGCCACTTTTGTCACTGACCCGTCGTTTGAGTCTGCTGCTGCGTCTGCCTTTATCGCTGAGCTGGTTGACTTTGCTGCTGCCTGTCGTCTAGACTACGCCGCTCGTCTTGTTGCTGAGTCTGAGTCTGTCGAGGCTCAGTCCGTCGGGGGTGAATGTGCTCTTAGCACGGAAGTCCTTGAGGACAGACAGGAGGACCTTGAGTGTCTTGCAGCCGCTGCGCCTCATCTCGTGTCCATGCTGCTTGCCCCTGAGGGAGACCCGGATGCACCAGACATCCGGACCCCGCGCTCTTACGCTTACGCGAGCGCGGGTGAGTACTCCTCTCCATGGCAGACAGCCATGGATGCAGAGATGGCATCCTGGAAGTCCACAGGCAGTTACGTTGACGAGGTTCCCCCTCCTGGGGCGAACATCTTCAGTGGCATGTGGATTTTCAGGGTGAAGCGGCCGCCAGGTTCTCCGCCTGTCTTCAAGGCTCGTTACGTTGCTCGAGGCTTCAGTTAGCGAGAGGGAGTAGACTTCTTCCAGACCTTCTCTCCCACCCCGAAGATGACCACTCTTCGGGTGCTGCTGCATGTTGCCGCTCAGCGTGACTACGAGCTTCACTCTCTTGACTTCAGCACAGCTTTCTTGCAGGGCAGCCTGCATGAGGAGATCTGGCTGCGCCGCCCTCCTGGCTTCACTGGGTTGTTTCCTTTTGGTACCCAGTGGAGCCTCCGGCGGCCGGTCTACGGTCTCCGCCAGGCGCCACGTAAGTGGCACGACACACTGAGGACTACACTTGCGGCTCTTGGGTTCGCGCCTTCTACCGCTGACCCGTCGCTGTTTCTGCGCACCGACTCTTCACTGCTGCCGTTCTACATCCTCGTGTACGTCGATGACTTGGTCTATGCCACTGCTGACACTGCTGGACTCGCCCACGTGAAGTCCGAGCTGCAGAAGAGACACACGTGCACAGACCTGGGTGAACTGCGCAGCTACCTTGGCTTGCAGATCACCCAGGACAGAGCACGCCGCACCATCACACTGACGCAGTCACACATGGTGCAGCAGGTCCTTCAGCGCTTCGGCTTCACTTGGTCCTCGGCATAGGCCACTCCTCTGGCTACAGGTCAGTCGCTCTCAGCTCCACCTTCGGACGAGTCCGTAGAGCCGAGTGGTCCTTACCCAGAGCTAGTTGGCTGCCTCATGTACCTGATGACCTGCACTCGTCCTGACCTCGCGTACCCTCTTGGCCTTCTGGCTCGCTACGTGGCTCCTGGTCGGCACCGACCTGAGCACATGGCTGCTGCTAAGAGGGTGTTGCGCTACTTGTGCAGTACATCAGGCATGGGGCTAGTGCTTGGAGGGAGGAGCTCAGTTGTTCTCACTGGGCACTCAGACGCTTCTTGGGTTGACGACCAGGCTACTCAGCGGTCGTCACAGGGTTACACCTTCAGCCTTGGCTCTGGTTCGGTTTCTTGGCGTTCTACTCGCTCGTCTTCAGTTCTCCGCTCCAGTTGTGAGGCTGAGATCTACGCCACAGCCATGGCTGCACAGGAGTTACGCTGGCTCACCTACCTGCTGACCGACTTGGGAGAGCGGCCTCGTTCTCCTCCAGTACTGTACGTCAACAACAAGGCTGCCATTGCCTTATGTGAGGAGCACAGACTGGAGCACAAAACAAAGCACATCGCTCTGTGTTACTTCCTTGCTCGAGAGTTGCAGCAGCGTGGTCAGCTTCGTCTGCGTTACGTGCCCACTCAGGCCAACACCGCTGATATATTCACCAAGGCACTTCAGTCTGGTGATCATCGGCGTTTCTGCACTATGCTGGGGCTTGTGCCCACTTTTCCTCGCTTGCTGTAGGCTTTATCTGTACTGTGATCTTTCTATATATTTACCTACATGCTTGCTTTGCTAAATTGAGATCACTGTGTTGTTTGTATTGCATATATACCTCTGCATGTGAACTGGCCTTGTGGCCCTTTGCTTGTGCTCGGTGTGTGTGGTGACGTTGTGATCCACCCTGAGCTTGCTTTGCTTTTCTTGACTGGACTTGTGATCTCCTGCTCTCGCCCACTTTGCCTATGGGGGTGTGTCCAACATATATCTACATGTTAGAGTTATTGCTAGGCTGTAGTGGGGTAGATAGTGTGGGGTATAACCCCTTAGGATTTTCCTCTTGTACCAACTCTCTCGATACTCAATCCATCCTTGCCTAAGGTTTAACACAGCCTAGCCGTGTTAGGACATCGCCGCGTCCGGTGCTGCCCTCACCAACTCAGTCTTCTAGCGAGACGTCTACGAGCGGCCGACCTCGTTCTGAAGTGGATTGATGAGTCTTGGGCCGACGTGCCCGAGGAGATGGTGAGGAAGGCGTTCCTCACCTGTGGCATCTCCAACGCCGCGGACGGGAGGGAGGATCATCTGATCCTCGCTCATTTGCAGGATTCGGCGGAGGTGGAGGTGATGGAGAACGTGATGGAAGAGGAGCTGGGTGAACTGGTTCCCAACCCGTTCTACCCGGCCCCCGTGGTCATTCCGCCGGATGCAACCGTCGAGGCAGAGGAGGAGGCCGTGCTGGCAGCAGAAACAGCAGAACCAGATGCGGAGGCTTTGCCTCCTAAGTCAGACTCCACCGAGTCCGACGAAGGTCTCGAAGGCAACCATGACGAGTGGAGTGACGACGGGGACGAGTGGTGGGCCCCTGGTCGCTACGAGGGAGAGGAGGTGGACGAGTGGGTGGCAGGCGATGACGAGGACTAGATATCACATTATGATATCCTTGGTATTTAGGAGGATTGTGGTTGCTTGGGCCCTATGACCTTGACAATTCATAGTTTCTGACTCAGAATGCCTCTGATTGGACTGTCTGCTAGTTTTGATCTTGAAAAATTACGCTTTAAGCTGAGGGGGGGGGGTCTTGTAATGTTTTCAGGCCAAATGGGGGGTCTAACTCGTAATAAAAGACCCCCCCGTAATAAAAGACCCCCCCCCTTTAAAAACCCGGGTACACTATTTGGGGGGGGGGGGGGGTCTTTTATCCGGGGGAATACGGTATGCAGATGCAACTATCAAAACATATGATCACTGCTTTATGTGCCCAAGAAAGCTAGAACGGAATACCGTTGCTGCAATATGTTATTCGTAGGTACTCTACGTGGTCGCTTCTAGATATAAGTGGAGCTTGCGTGACCGTTTTGGTGCAATTTAAAAATAGCTTCTCTGGCTCATAAAAGCACGAGTGGAAAGACTCGCTCATTCTCATACAAAAAGAAAGGCCAGCACCAATAGATAGATGTTTTCGGTTGGTCTATTTCAAACATAATAATCGAGAGACACCCTATAGCGAGCACAAATTCATTCTTCTTCCATCTCAAGTTTATCCTCACTGGTAGTTTCTGAGCCGACGGATCCCGATAATGTCGCTGCCGCTAGAGAGCCACGCACCGAAGCATGAGTTCCTGGCGGTCACTTCCCGCCATTTCGAGACACGCGATCCCCGAAGAGTAACCAGACGAGTTTACATCGTTGGCGTATGTCCACCCTGTCGCAAATGCGATTCGCATACGTTTACGGCCCTTGCGACTCCCTACCGCCTTCGCGGACGCAGATCCTCACGGGCAGCGGGGTCAGGAATGGCAAAGCTTTCGCGTCGCAACGACAACCGGCAGCATCGCTTAGCCAGCAGGCTTGGTCCCAAGTGGACCATCCGCACCGTTTGGAAAAGCCAAAGCGCCAGACTGCACCGCTCTGTGACGTACCCCGACACCAAGGCCAGCGGCCTCGGAAATAGCTTTGTTCCGTCCGTGTTCCCGTGCCTGCCTGCTGTGAGTTCCCAGCGCGAATCGCTTAGCAACTCCTTCCTGCACAATCGTCTGGACAAGGCAATCAACCGGACTGAACCGTTCTGTCACTTCCCCGGAGGCCACGGCCAGAGGCTTGACACTGTTTCGGAAATAGGTTCGTTTCCCTGCGAGACCGCACAGCGACTGCCCGCTGCGTGAGTTCCCAGTGCCTCGTCTCTCCTCCACCCCGCCTTGTCGCAGCAACCCTCTCTCGCTCTCCCCCCGTCGCCTGCATCGCCTTTTCGAGTACAAACCCACACTCTCTCTACTCACCCTCATTCATCGCTCTCTCTTCTTCGGTTTAAACTCTCCAGCTGACCTTGATCGCCGGTTACTATCTCGTTACTCTCGAGCCAGCTCCCACAGCTGCAGCACTACTATCCTTGCCAGATCAGAACATCCTAAGCTTTCAGCTCTCTCCAGTACTTCTAGCTTTGCACCCGAGGCTGCAACAGCAAGCAGTGTTCCCTCATAAATCGTCTCTGCTAGTTCTACCGCTCGGTTTCGGCCTCACACTTCGGCAGGCCCGTCGGTATCCTCGATTGTTCTTACTCGGATGGCCGTCGCGTCCGTGCGTGCGTGCACCTCGTCGTCAGCTGAGTACCCGTCCCGTATCCTCGAACGTTCTTCCTCGTTCGCGGAAGTCCTGAGCATCTGGAGGAAGCGCGACGAGGTTTCGCAGTCCCGCGCGAAATTTGAACTGCCGCTGAGCTCCGCGACTGCATGCGCGGTGCCCTGTGAGCCAACTGTTGAAGCGACTTTTGAGGAGACTTCCGAGGCGATTTCTGAGCCGACGGAGAAGCAGTTTCAGCTGCAAGTGCCGCTGAGCTTCCCCACTGAATGCGCGGCAGCTGCAGAGGAGGAGGAAGCGGATGAGGATTCTCGGAGTGACTGCGAGCAAACGAGCACTGGCAGCGTCGACGTCGAGACGTCATGCAGCAACGGGATGAGTTCTGATGTGCTCAACGCATTGCACGCCGCCCTGCTGCTGCTGCTGCTGCTGCACTCGCTGCTCTTGTCACTGCTGCTGCCGCTGCTGAGAGTGGTTCTGCCCTGGCGGATTCCCGAGGTAGAGAGCACAGGAGCGCGTGTGAAGGTGGGTGGAGTGGAGGAGAAAGCATGGAATGCACGTGGTGGTGCTCTAATCCATCAGAAGCCCACAACAAGCAGCATGAGGCAGCAGCAGGAGAGAGAGCACGCTGTGAAGTGCAGAGGGAGGAGGAATGCTGGCAGCACCACCAAGGCAGCAGCAAGACCTTCTTGGAGGCCTTGAAGGTGCTGGCGCCACAGAAGCAAGCACAATGAAATTTTTATTTACAGGAGCACCTAGGTGTCTTCAATAGCTAGCTGAGTGCAAGCCTGTTTGAGTAACTAGCTGTGTCAATATTGTAATCTATGCTAGTACACTAAATGCCTTCTAATCTAACCCTGTAGCATTTTACAAGTTGAACTGACACATAACGAGCGCGGTGGATGTTGTTACCATAGAACTACCCCTTACCACATGGTTGTGTGATTGACTGCTGATTGCAGTGACTGCTCAAACTTGACTGCAACATTCTTTTCTTGTCCACCTGGAGGTTCCAAACCAAGTGAGCACTAAAAAACTTCCTACTCCAGGGCCACAATCATTTCTTTTAGTGAAACCCACCCCATTCTACAATGACCAATAAACCAGAGTCACAGGATTCTCAAGCAAGCATGAGGGGATGAATGAGAAGGGACGAGGGTGGGTGGGTAGAGTGAGGTAGCAAGAACAAGGCACAGGCATCCCTTGCACTGCACACATGCATCCCTCCCAACCAATCCATGTTCCCTTCCTCCACTGCACTCCTCCGTCCCTCCAATACCTCCTGCTGGCCTCGCACACACAGCTGAATTCCCCCTCACCTCCCCTCCCTTCCCTCCTCCTTACTCTCCACAGGCACCAACCAACCCTCCGTTCACACTCCTCTTCCCATCCATGTCCTCCTCTCCCTTAACCCCTCCCCACGGCACCTTGGGTGCACGTAGTCTTATCTCCCCCCTGTTCCCAAAGGCAGCAGAGACCTCCCTAGCCAGCGTCATCCTTCCTCACATCTCCCGCACTGCTCCCACCAGACACTTGCCACTCCTAGGGTCTTCTGTCGACATGGCACACTCACCACCCATGAGTCAGGTCATCTGCCATCAAGCAGCAACAAAGATCAGGCTGCTGATCAGGCTTGCGCCATCGAGACACCAAGATCAGGCTGCTACAGGGCCTTCGCCCGGCCCCTTCCTTCCCCTCGCAACCCACTCAGCACAGCACCCCTCCTTCCAATCCCACCTCTCCGCCCCTACCCCACCTCAATCCGACTCCTCCTCTCCTCGCCTCCCTCTCTTCCCCTCTCCATCTCCTCCCCCCACCCCCCCCCCCCCCCCCCCCCTCTCTCCCTCGCTCCCGCTTCCTCTCCTTGCGCTCACTCGACGGCGACGGTGGCGCCGACGGCCTTGAGTTTCTCGGCGATGGCGGCGGCGTCTTCTTTGCTGACGCCCGCCTTGACCACGACGGGCGCCTTCTCGACGAACTCCTTGGCCTCCTTCAGCCCCAGCCCCGCGATGCTCCGCACCTCCTTGATCACCTTCAGCTTCGCCGCCGCGTCGAACCCTTCCAGCTTCACGTCGAACGCCGTCTTCTCCTCCACAGCCGCCGCCGGAGCCGCCTCCCCGCCGCCGCCGCCGCCGGGCGCCGCGCCGCCCGGCATCATCATCATGCCCATCGGCATGCCGCCCATGCCCGCGTTCGCGGGCATGCCGAGCCGCTTGCGAATCACAGCCGTCAGTTCGGACATCTCGAGCAGCGTGAGCCCTAAGATCTGGTCCGCCAGCTTCCCTACGCGCTCTGTCGGCGGGGCTGGGGTTTTCGTCGAGTTGGGGGCAGAGGGAGGATGAGAAGCGGAGGGAGGCGGATCGGGGGAAGAAGAGTCGGGGGGTGCGGAGTCGGCGGCGGAAGAGAAGGGCGCGCGGGAGGCGGCGCGGAGGGGGGGGTGGGGGAGGCACGGAGCGGGGATGAAGGCGGGGCGAGGGAAGATGCGCGAATGGAGTGATCGTTGCTGCTGCTGGGAAGGGGAGGCGACTGTGGGAGTGGGAGATTGCGGTAGTTGCGGGAGCGGAATTTGCGGGGAGATTGGCGGCGAGTGGAGCGACGCTAGTGATCGGGAGAGAGCGACGAAGGCGAGAGCGGCGCGGGAATGGCACGGCGATGACGGGGAGATCGGAAGCGAGGGGATGGTCAAGGCGGCGTCAGCGCCGCCGCTCGCGCCGCGCCGAAGCGCGCCGATCGTTCGAAGCATGGTGCTTGACTCCGGGATTGGAGAATGCAGACACGAATGTGGAGATAAGCTATGTGCGGAGGTTCGCGCCGGGCGGGTTATGGATAAGGGGGTCGCGCAGGGCGGCGAACAGCTCGGGAGTCAGAGATTCAAATCTGATCAATATAAAATCTGCGCTTCAACCAGAACTGTAGAAGACTCAGTCTACAGAGAGAACGGCTAGAGAGCAGATCCATCAACAGGAAAAGTAATGCGTGATTTGAGCTCGACTCCTTGTGCTCCGCCTGTCCTTCCTACGGTCATACGCGCTTTGCTCGCTGTCGATTATTATCGGTGCCCCTAGGCCGTTATGACCAACCCAGCGTTTGCTGATGGTCTTCCAAAATCGTTGCGACAACGAGAGGCGAAAAGCACGTGCGACGTGTAACTGACTGGGTATGGCGTCGTTAATTGGCTATGGTGGACTGCTGTGGATGGCGATGTTCGTTCGTTGTTTCGCGACTGCTGACGTGGAGAATGAGTTTTTCTGGAAGGTGCGTGGAGCGATGATCAACTGCTGGTTACCACTCCCTTACAAACGGCTCCACAAACTGTTTGCGGTTTCTTAGTGTAACAAGCATCTGATGCCTCAGCGCTAGCACATCAGCTGTTATTGACAACCGTTGATAAGTCTGTACTATAATGGCTGTCATATTATGCAGGTAGGGGAGCAGCCGGGGGTGACCGGAGCACCCCAGGGAGTGCAGCAGGCAGGAGGGCAGTCGATGGTGTCTGGGGAACCCCAGGGAGTGCAGCAAGGAGGAGGGCAGGGAGTGCAGCAGGCAGGAGGGCAGCCGAGGGTGCTCGGAGCACCCCAGGGGGAGCAGCAGATAGGGGGGCAGCCGGGGGTGACTGGGGCACCCCAGGGAGTGCAGAAGCCAGGGGGGCAGCCGAGGGTGCCCTGGGCACCCCAAGGAGCACAGCAATCAGGGGGACGATCGATGGACAACCAGGAGCAACAGTTGGAGGAGTGGTGTCGGCTTTTGGAGCTGGATACCCCCATGGCGACTGTGGAGGAGTCAGAGGCGGACGAAGCACCTCCCATGCCGCCTCCCCCATGCCCCCGCTTTCCGTGCGACACGTGTTTCCACACTTTCGCTACGCGGGGGGGCGCTGCGAACCACATGAGGGTATGCCGAGCGGCGGAGGCGGAGAGGCGTGCACAGGCTCTCAGCTCGATTCCGTCTCTGGTGGAGACCGACACGCAGGAGCGATCGACGCCGCGGGAATTTGGGGAGGAGGCGTGGGCTGGGGTTACGTCATGGGAATGGGAAACATTTTTCAGCGTGGAGGCGGTTGGAGGGAGGACAGTGCGCCGGATCCCACAGCGGGCCAGGTCGGGGGTTTTAGACGCGCTCTGTTGCATCCTTAAGCGCTTGAAGAGCCAGCCGGGAGATGAAGCCGCTACCCTCCTACTCTTGACGTTTCCGCGCCTCATCCTAGCCATGCCTCCCAAGCCAGGCATAGGCCAGAAGGCGCTGATCACAGAGCGGTTGAATGCGTTCTGGGAGGGGAGGTGGCGGGAGCTGTTTGATTCTGCCATGGTGGCGGCGCGGCCAGCAGTTCGCCCACTTTCCTACACTTGCTCTGACCAAGACCCGGATGCCATCCGCCTGTCACGGTGCCGATCTCGGTGCGAAGTGGGGGAGTGGAGCCGTGGATTGGCCTGCCTTACAGCAGGGGAGTTGGCTCGACCGTCGGAGGTCATGGTGCAGTCGCTGCGAGAGAAGCACCCGGCTAGCGCTGGCGAGGTACCACAGTGGGTCCGCGATTTCACCATCGATACTGCTCAGCGGCCTTCACTCACGACCGACATCCTGGCCAGAGCTATCCATACAGCCGCTCGAGCTTCAGCAGCAGGGCCATCGGGGTGGGTCACAGAGCATCTGCGCGACACCTTCCTCACTGAACCTTCCTGCCTTTCCCACTTGTTGGAAGTGTTCAACCAATGGGTGGCAGGACAGGTCCCCGAGCGGGCTCGGCCGTGGCTCGCCGCATCCAACCTAGTCGGGCTTTCCAAGCCTAACGGCGACGTCTGGCCGGTGGCGATCGGGGAGGTGCTTCCTCGTATCCTTGCTCGAGCTCTCTGCATCTCGCTCCGCCCTGCATTGGTTTCCTACTTCCTGCCGTGCAACCAGCTGGGAGCGGGCACCAGGGTCGGGGCGGAGATTCTTACTCACTCTTTCCAGTCAGCGCTGGCCACTCACCCCAATTGGTGTGCGCTACAGATAGACGTCGCAAACGCCTTCGATTCGTTTCACCGTCATGTGATGTTCGATGGGCTGCGGGAGTCGCCTTTCTCAGGGATGATCCCATTCTTGCGTGTCTTTTATGGGACACCTAGCGACCTGTACCTCCGAGCAGGCCCTTTCGTATAGAGCCTCGAGTCAGCACGGGGATCGAGGCAGGGGGACCCGCTCGGCCCTTTTCTTTTCGCCTTCACTCAGCAGCAGGTGATGGAGCTGGTTACTAGGGAGTTCAAGGACCTGCTTTTCCTCAGCTATGCAGACGATACCTATATTTTGGGGCCAGCGGCTAGGATTCTGGAGGCTTTTGGGGTGCTTCGGGAGCGGTTGGAGTGGGTGGGGCTGGAGGTGCAGGCGCACAAGTGCCGGTTTTGGGAGCGCGAGGGCAAGGAGGTGGAGCGGGCACTGCCATTGGGGATGCAGCGGGTGGATGAGGGTCTTACTGTGGTGGGCGTGCCTATTGGAGAGGAGGTTTGGGAGGTGGTCCGGCTACGGGAGCGGCTTCGACAGTTGCAGGCACCACTGCCATGGCTCCCCTTGCTCGACCACCCCCAGATGGCTTCACACCTCCTCGCCATTGCAGTTTCAGCGCGGCAGATGTACCTCGCCCGGACTATGCCGCCGCGTCCGGAGGTAGTTGAGGCTTTTAGGGATTGGGACAGCTGTTTAGAGGATTGCTTCGAGCAGCTTTTTCCACCTGACACTTGGGAGCAGGACCCCGACCGGTCTAGGCGCGCACGCATACAGCTGCATGTCCCTGTGCGTCTCGGAGGGTTCGGGATCCGGGCGGCGGCCTCTTTGAGCCCACTGTCCTATGTTTGTGGGTGGGCACAGGCCGCGCGTGACATTGCACAGTTAGGGGTGGCGGGCGAGGAGGCGATGTTTGCTGAGTACCTCACCACTTCGACAGGGGCAGAGTTTCTTGACCCGTGGTTTGTCAAGGCTCTTGAGCAGCTGCCAGCGACTATCCGCCACGAGATACCGGGCTTACCTCTGTGTGTAGCGGCCCCTCCTGTTCGGCTTTTCCAGGCGCGGCAGCGCCAGTTAGCTGTAGAGGAGCTCCAGGCACTGCGACGCTTGGCTCGTGACGATGCCACCTTGGCCCGTTTCACATCCCTTTAGGGCCCGAGGGCAGGTGCATGGGTTTCGGCGGTTTCGGCTCACTCATATCTCACATTCACTGCGGCTGAGTGGGGCATTGCTGCTGCTATACGGCTCGGCCTCCCAATCCAGCAGCTGCAGGTGGCGGGGAGGTATGTTTGTGGCACAGCGTTTGTTGACCCAGCAGATCCGCACCATGCCCTGAGATGCAGGCATCAGCATGGTCCTTCTCGGGTGCATGATGAGGTGAAGTTTGCGGTGGCGAAGATCTCTAAGGCGTCGGGGGGTGTGGTGACAATGGAGGATAGTGTGGTGCTGCATGGGAAGCGGGTTGATGTGGCGGTGCGACGTCCAATGGCTGGAGAGGCTCACGCCCTAGAGATCAGCGTCGCGGACCCGCTATCGCAGTCTCCATCACTGCTGGAACAGTGCGGGCGTCAAATAGGTGTGGCGGCAAGGGAGTGGGAGCGCCGCAAAACGAGTGACTACGCGCCTCTGCTTGCACGCAACCGGGGCGTGCAGTTCACCCCTTTGATAGTTGAGACGTGGGGGTGTCTCGGCGGTCGTTTTCAGCGGTGGCTTCGTCAGCAGGGGGATGCGCACGTGGGACTAGCTGTGTCGCGGGGGGCTTGTCGAGAGGACGACTCTGTTTTTTCGGCTTATCTTTTAGGGTCACTGAAGGCGCTCATCGGGGTGGCGTTACAACGGGCGCAAGCTCGTGTCATCCTGCTTCGAGCAGCGTCTTCCATGGGGGGGATTAACGTAGATTTGGTGGATCGGGAGAGGGACGATGTCGATGTGGAAGGCGGGGCTCTCTGGGTGGAGGCCACGTACATGGTCGATACGTTGATGTGATTGAAGGGGGGGGGGGGATGGGGTGTGGGATGGGATGTCTTGATCGGGTGTCTTGACTGGGCATTTTGATTGGGTATCTTGAGTGGGGGTTTTATGTGTGCTGCATTTGGGTTCTTTTTGGCGGTTTCATCTTCCAACTTCCTTAGCCAACTAGGCTACACAACCGCATCAGCTGCAGTAGCCGCCTATCAGCACATGCACAGCTAGTATAAATCACTATGTGGCCAGGAATAAAATCTGAAATGGGTGTACTAGAACCAGTTATGGAAGTTATGAAATTATTAGACTTCGTAGTTACTGAAGTCACAGATAAGCCATAACGCTACACCCACATTTTCTGCATTTTTCCCTCGACAAAGCAATCCAACCACACCTCTTCCTTTTCCTCTTTCTCCGCATCCCCCCCCACCTCCTCCTCCTTTCCCCCACCACCTCCCCTACCCTAGGGGCTTTAGGGCCTTCCTCGCTCCTAGCTGCTTGCTCCGCAGCGGCTCTTGCTCCCTTGAGAGCTCGACCAGGTCCCATTCGGCCGCGAGGGCGTTTCGGGCTTCTGTCTTAGTCCGGTCCTAGACTCTAGGGTGGGAAATCGGCGCGGCTCGTTGGCCCGTCGCTGTTGCCTTAGTTCCGCCCCGTCGTCGTTTCAGACCAGGCTTTAGCCTCAAAATCTATAGCCCAGTTTAAGAACGTCCACCGACCAGGCAATCTGCGTCTTCGCTTTACACCCGTTCTTCCTCGCGCCTGCCGTATTCAGATCTTCCTTGAGCATCGCGATTTCGCCATGCTTCGAACGATCGGCGCCTCGTCGGCCGCGCTTCGGCGCGGCGCCTCGTCAGCCGCCGCTCAATGCGGCGGCGCTGGCCTCGCCTCGACCATCCCCTCGCTTCCGATCTCTCCGTGCCATTCCCGCGCCGCTCTCGCCCTCGTCGCTCTCTCCCGATCACTAGCGTCGCTCCACTCGCCACCAGTCGCCCCGCAAATTCCGCTTCCGCAACAACCGCAAAACTCCTCTCCCACCCTCACACCCGCTTCCCAGCAGCAGCACAGCCAGTCCGTACAGCAGCGGCGGTCGCTCCACTCCCCCGCATCGCTCCTCTCCGCTCCCGCCTTCCGCCTCCCCGTTTCACCCCTCCACTCTGCCCCCCGCGCGCCGTTCTCCTCCTCCGCCGACTCCTCCGCGGATCCGACGGAGCAGCGCAGCCCGCCGACAGAGCGCGTCGTACGGCTGGCGGACGAGATCGTAGGGCTGACGTTGCTCGAGGTGTCAGATCTAACGACCCTGATCCGGAAGAAGCTGGGAATGGAAGATGCGCCCATGGGCGGCATGCCGATGGGCATGATGATGATGCCGGGCGGCGCGATGCCCGGCGGCGGCGGCGGCGGGGAGGCGGCTCCGGCGGCGGCTGTGGAGGAGAAGACGGCGTTCGACGTGAAGCTGGAAGGGTTCGACGCGGCGGCGAAGCTGAAGGTGATCAAGGAGGTGCGGAGCATCGCGGGGCTGGGGCTGAAGGAGGCCAAGGAGTTCGTCGAGAAGGCGCCCGTCGTGGTCAAGGCGGGCGTCAGCAAAGAAGACGCCGCCGCCATCGCCGAGAAACTCAAGGCCGTCGGCGCCACCGTCGTCGTCGAGTGAGCGCAAGGAGAGGAAGCGGGAGCGAGGGAGAGGGGGGGGATGGGGGGAGGAGAGGAAGGGAGAGGAGATGGATAGGAGAAATGAGGGAGGCGAGGAGCTGGGGTAGACGCGGAGATAAGGGATCAAAAGGAGAGGTGCTATGCTGAGTGGGTTGGGGAAGGAAAGGGGGGGTGGAGACGTATGGTAGGGAGAGGTGTCGGATGGGGTGGAGCAGAGCATGGGTGGCGACACAGGACTGAGTTGGTAAACTGCAAGGAGTCTAGGTGTGGGATGGCCAGCCATTGTGAGGCTGTAGCTGAGTGAGTCGACAGCAGGGAAACCGTCATTATGGTTGTAGTTGCATGGCTCTTCTATGTCCTCCCTACAGTTTTTTCTGTTTGGATTCTCCCCTATCTCTCCGTCTCCGTTCTCGTTCTCTCTCGCTTTCTCTTCCCCCCTCTCCCTTCCTACATCACATGCACACTTATCATTTGAAGTCCACCTTTCTGCCACTGGGAATGTTCTGTGTCCCAACGTTTCCGCCTTCGTTAATCTTCAAATGGTATCTCCTACCATTCTCTTCCAGACCTGTCCCATCCTTCATCTCTACTCTTTAAGCATAATCGGGGCCTTCCTTTGGCCATGTTTCATGGCTATCTTAGGTGTCCAATGGTTACTCCAACTCCAGGTCCTGGTCTTGCCAGACAGTCCTACAGTCATGCCCTCTGTGGGCTGGTTGTATACCCGAGTTTGGACGAGCTGCCTTCAAGTTAGGCAGCGTTTTGGTTGGTTTTTCTAGGTTTGGTTTAGTGCTAATTGTTGATTGGATCAGAGTGAGCTGATACGTTCTTGAAGTTCCTTGAGGTTGGACAGGTGCAGTGCAACCTGCATGTTGTTGGATAGACGTCAGCCTTCATGAATGAATGCAAATGTCCAATGAAGGTACTCTACATTTGGGAAAAGAGGTAGAAAAGCAAGTTTCAAGAACGACTAGTGATAGCACCTTCCACTCCACATTCTAGCCACCCATACCTTGCCTCAAATGGCAAGTGGCAAACAAGGATGCATCAGCTATTTATTCCCCCCTTGGACAACGTCAGCAACAGCTTCCACCTCTTCACGCACTCGACCAACAATAGTAGGAGCCTTGACGTTAGTGCGAGCACCTGCTGCTCTTTCCTTAGCGTCAGATTCAGTATGTGCTAGTGTTTCATAACCGCCAAGATTTCTCCAAATCTTCCTGAGGCCTGATTTAATTGTTGAATAGACGCTGCCATCATCCTCGCCTTCCATTCCACCTGGAACTTCTTCTCCTGAAAGTCGCTTTCTCTCACTAGGTTCATCCTCATCCATAGCAACCTTTTCCGGATATTCAGGGGCCTTCTCTTCACCTGCACACACGTCCGAATATCAATGCAAATCGTTGAAAGCTAGCAAATAGAAATCAAAACTGGATGCATACCTGGGTGAACGCTCAAAAGTAGTGAAGGCTGATCGCCCCGGCCTGCAGCAAGGTACTTGTGTCAGTACTGGTTGTACGGCTGCTGACAGTCGTTTCTGTTTAATCGGATCATGTAAATGCAAACTCAAACGGACCATGATTATTAGACGATGCAGCCGGCTGACCCATTGAAGTAGACATCCCACCAAGAATCGTGTCTCAGCAACTCAAGGGAATTAAAAATTCAGGAGGTGATAAACGGGCACTAACGATTACAGAATCAGGAGTCGACACAGCACAAGGGGTAAAGTAGTGCCAAGGTAGACAAGGTTTTGCAAAAACTTCACGGTGGCAGGCGCTATTTCTGGGTGCCTGGCTCTTTGCTTGCTCTCTGCTTGCTAGCTGCTTCCGTGCCTTAACAGCATGCTTGAGTTCTGCTAGCTGCTTTGAGATAGCCATCCGCCATGCAGCGAACCTGACATTGTCTGAAATTGACATAAGGCTGAGAGAAATCGAACCGCGTTTATTGATGGAATTATCAAGCTGTGACGATGATGACATGAGATGAGACGATGACAGGTTGCGTTGACAAGCTGTCAAGAAAATTACTGTAAAACCCTGTTTAATCATTCCATTTTACTCGCGTGGTTTCGAATTACTCGAGTGGCCACCAAACTTAGTGATAATTACTCGAGTGGCCACGCCAGGGCATTTTCAATGTGTTTGTTTTCCCCGGCACATCTCCCTACGAGGGTTTGTAGCCCCGAAATTCCTCGTTCGCACGAGTCTCATCCCGCGGTAGTGTTTCGTACTATTCTCAACCCGAAAATTTCGGGTGGGTGGCGGGCGCGAGCGTGGCCACACACTGTACACAAAACCTTCAAAATTTCACGACCAGCAGTGTATGCGCGGTCATTTTCGGCCCAATGCGCGACCAATTAGCGCGCGGTAAAAAAATCAGCGGTTTATGCACTGCGGGGGCATAAATGCGCGAACCCATTAGTGACAACGCATGATTGGTCGTTAATATGCCAGTTTCCCTTTTTGGCAATGCGCGTCCAATCAGGCGCGGTTATTTAGTTCACGACCATACATGTAGGCAATAAAAGATCGCCCAACAACCAATATGAGCGCGCACGTTTTTAAGATAAATTGTATCATATGTCTGGTACTATTGCGGGATGATACTCGTGCGGACGGTGCATTTCGGGGCTACAGACCTCCTTTGGGTAATGCGACGGGAAAAACATCCAGCGGGAATCCCCTGGCGTGGCCACTCGAGTAATTATCACCAAATCTGGTGGCCACTTGAATAATTCAACGCTACGCGAGTAAGAATGAATCACCAAACAGGGCTCTACAGTGATTCTCTTTAAGCTGTCCTGCTGTGGCTGTGCGATTCTGTGCGACGGTTCTCCAGCAATCTCATGTGTCGTTTAGGGCGGGCCCAACTTTGCACACTCCCGTTTTTTTTCGTTATTTTTACGTAAATGCACCGGTCAAACTTGACTGTACACCAGGGCGAACCCCAAACATTTCATGTCCAAATTCGTGTGTACGATTCGGACTTTTGACGAGGTACAGTAACGCTGCGGGGTACAGTATCTGAAGCGAGAGGTTACCCAATCAAGCGAGTTTTTTTGCACCTGTGATGGAGCTAGGATTCGTTAGCGAAAATAATTTGGCGAAAACTAGTGTTACCTCCTAACGTGTTCGACACGAGACGAGTTTGAAGTGAACCTTCGGACGGGTTCTGCACGTCCCCGGGTGGGTTTCTAAAATGTCATCATAAATGTACAGTTTCGCGTCAAATGGTTTCAGGTACGTTTGTAGTTCTGTTACATCCCAAATTGTGGTAACTGAGCTGAAAACTTTTTGTTCATGTGCAAAGTTGGACCCGTGCAAAGTTGGACCCGCCCTTAGCGTTCGTCGGATGTTACAACAACGTAAGCGATGACATCCAGATTCATGAACCTGCCATTGTGATGCGCAGTTTTGCGAAACCAGGCCCAGCGAAGTTTTCCTGGTCCATCCAGACCAGACTAGTTACACTATCCAGCGAGTTCCCTGGTTTTCGCGAGCTGTCCTACAGAACAAACCAACCCACCTCATTCCGCCTCGCCCCACCCCTCCTGCCTGTCTCAGAAGTCTCGCTGTGATGCGTTCCCGTGAGGTTCGAATTTTTTTGGAGCGATTCTCAACAGTTTCAGAGCGTTTTGAGCGGTTTAAAGGTAGAGCATTCAGATACCTTGGTCCTAGACTGCAGGTTTTACGCCCACAAAAGCGCCTGGTGTGATTGTGGAACTGTCACTGTCAGCAGATCAGGCACCTGCATTCCCAGGAGCAAGCAGTTCACGGAGAGGCTAAAAGCAGCTCAGTTCATTCCATACACTTCGCCGTCTGCGTGAATTCTTTCCGCGGTAAGCAGCTTATGATGAGTTTCGTACCGATTTCGCTCTCGTATCTGCGCTCTCTCTTACCACCCCGTTCATAGACAGTATAATCGTTGTATCTAGTCCAGATAACGCGAATTCCGCCTCGTTCTTCGCCGTCGGTGTCTAACTACTGGTCGATACTGAAGTACTCTATTCCATTCGAATCTGCTATCACCCATTCAGTTGATCAGAAACATGTCTTCGATAGCCGCTTACGCTCTGCAATGGGACTCGTATGCTTAGCTTAGAGATGCCAATGCCTTCCATTTTCGCGATGCATGACTAAGGGCCTCTCAAAAGTCTCGTAGAGCGTTTTCCTCAGTCTGATATTGATGCGGCACAATCGAGTTTTCCCTTTTCGTACGCGATTTAGGCGACTCCATACATCCGTTCACTGATGATCAGTGAAAGCAGTACTCTTATATTTGTGTGTTTTCTTGGCGTTCATAAATGTCTCGTTGGACTCTCCTCTGTCACAAATGCAACTCTGTCCGTCCGACCAACCTCTCTGTTGCATTGTCTCTTCCCCTCGTCATCTGCATTTCCCTTGTCCTCTACATTCCTTGTCTCCATGTCCCTCGTTCTTTTTCCCAATTACTCCCCTCTCACTTGCCATAATCTCCCTCACGCCATTGCCTCCTTCTGCTCCCCCCGCTTCTGCCTCCTCATTCATCCACGAATCTTGTCGCACCGACCCCATTCTTGCCTTGCGTGCTCACCCAACCCTAACCTAAAGGTCAAAAGTTCAAATAGATCACTTAATCTCCGCTCAAATATGTCACAGCTTACTCTGTCTTGCTCCACCCTCTCAAAATCCCCTTGCCTCTCCCAACCTCCCCCTGCGTTGCAACCTCCCGTGCCTCCGAACCTCACCTGCTCCCTCCTTCTCTCCTCAGCCATGGCGCTCGCTACAGCTGCTGCCCTGCTCCGCCGCTCCAGCGCCTCCTCCTCCTCGGCTGCTGACGTCATGGGCGCTATGCGACTCGGTGCCTCTGCTCTGCTGCAGGTAGCTTGGCGGGAGAGGGCGAAAGGGGAGAGGAGGGGAAGAGGTGGGAAGAGAGGGGGAGAGAGGGGGGGAGAAGGGGAGGAGAGGGGAGGGAAGGACCGAGGGGAGGTGGGATGAGGATTGGAGTGCAGTACAGTGC